AAGGGAGAAAGGAACAGGACGAGGGCTGCCTGAGCACAGGGGTCTCCCCTGGCAGGAAGACACCCAGTGACCCAGCCAGAATAAGAGAGCCCTGCACTTGGTCTTTGGCAAAGTTATGGTTCATTGCTACCTTGAGCAAGTCAGCAGTCTAGTAGGGAACCCTTGATTCTTCCTAAATAAGGGAGGTCGGGACTCATGGCCAAGGGCCCTTTGGTCCCTCGGCAGGGGTGAGGGGAAGCAGTATACTTGAAAAAGATGAAGTCAGAATGCCTAAAACCGGAGCTGACTCTGAAAATTCCAGTGCGTAAACTTCATTAAGTCATCACGGGATGTGTTTAACTCAAGTTACCACACAGGGATATTTGTAAATTAACTTCTCTCAAAGGAGTCGCCCCCCCCTCCCTCCTCACCACACCCCAGGGCCTCACCAACACCTCCCCCTCCCCCACAATTTGCCTACAAGGACAAAAGAAGTCAGGGGACTGGTGTTTGTTTTTAATTTGCTCTTATTTGGATTTGCTTTTGGCCCCTAGGACTGCAAAGCAGGGCATATCTGAGGAGTTTGTGAACTGCAGCTGACCCACGTGGCGTTCCTGGGGAAGGCTGGCAGTTTCTCTCCGGGGGCTATCTGCTAAGCACCGCAGGGAGATGCATGTAAACTGGAGGAACAGAGCAGAGAACAGGAAACTTCAGGCTCTGGGGAGGGGCGTCTCACCGGATCTCAAAACAATAGGCACTTAACTAACCTCTTTCCCGGGAACAAGTAAGTTTGCAGGCCGAGCTCCAGAGGCCCTCACTTTCTAAAGTTCAAGAATCATTACTTTGTGCCACATGAAGTCAGTGCAGATCCTACCCGGGCATCGCTAGTAATTTCAGCAGTCCTGACTCTTCCCAAGAGTCCTCCACCATCAGTCACCCCGGGGGTGCACCTCCCCAAAAGGTTGACCACCTCTTTCAGGGCTAGTTAACCGACCAGCATCTTTCCCAAGAGTGGACTGCGCGTTCAGTGCCCAGGGCCCACAAATGTTTTGCAATTTGTGATTAGGGCTTCCAGGAGACGTGTGGGGATTTGGTCTGCATGATGAAACTGCCCAGCGGCTAGCTGCAGCCGAAGCATGAGGCAGTAATGGCTAGCGGGAGGTGCCCACGGCAGCGGGTACCAGAGCCTTTGCAGAGTAGTGTTTTCTTGCGATTCCCGTCTCTCACAAGTGCACACTCTCCCCTCATCCCACCTCTTCACTTGGCAAAACCAGACACTCCCTAAGTCACTGCTACCGAAGATGCCTGCCCTCCAGGCACTCCTAGTCTGGTGTTGTGTAAGCTCATGTTCTCTTAATTCTATGTCCATTTAGGCAACGCTTATTAGCGATTATTCATTCTTGCACTGCTCAAACATTTTCATGTGGTCAATTATACTAGTTTCTTCCCTAAAAGAACACTTTGTTAACAATTATGTGGAAGCAATCCTTTGGTGCTTAACTATGACTGGACTGAATTCATTTGAATGCAGGCATCCTGGATCTACTAAGGCACCAGACCCTGGTCAACGCCCTTCACTGGTGCAGGCCAACACAGTGTCCAGGGAGTGAGGGTCAGGGCCTCCCAGCGGCCACTCGCCTGGCAAGGGTTCCACTGGCTAGGCTGTGGACTTTGATGCTTGGCAGAATATACAACAGGAAAGTAGCAACTGGACTTGGAATCTATCGAGGAAGGGGTTTGAATGGATAATTCCTCCACTGCCTACCTCAGGAGCCTCCTCTGGTTAGGGGTGGGGGAAAAAAAAACCTTTCATATCATGTTTTACCTACAATACTGGACTAAGGAGTGTCACAGCATCATGCTCCTGACCTGTGGGGACCCACACAGTGAGCTGGGGTCAAATATTGTCACTAACTAGAGGCAAGCAGTTTACATAGCTTTATTGGCTTACGCTGGTGGGAGGCTACAAAATCCCAGCATTGAAATACACAATCATAATTAAAAATAAGTCTTTTCCTTCCGTAAAAATAGAGTCAGCTGTGTCTTGATCTATGCTATCCAAGCCAAAGCTGCAGGGGGGAGAAGGCACTGGGTAAGATCTTGCTGAGCTGGTGTCTTGCTGTAGGAACCTCCAAAGGAGGGCTAAGCCACAACATCTGCCCCACTCTGCAGCTTCCCCTGCACAGCAGTTCAAAGCCAGGTTCACCCTAGGACAGCCCAGAGAGCAGGAAGACAACCGCAGACACGATCCGTCTAAGCCCACATCAGGTTTTCCCCAGCCTCACACTGAACCCGGAGCTCTGTAGCAACTACATATTTTCTGTTCCCCGCATCTGCCCTTTGAATAACAGGTCTGAGAGTTCAGCTGTCCCACCCCACCTTTAAACTCAGCCAAAGAATACTGTTACAACAGACCCCACAGTGCTGGAATCGGCCAGAAGAGGCAAAGCAAGCATTCAGCAAACGTCACCCGCCAGTCCTCCTCACCAAAGCCACCTGGAATCCAAGCCAGCCTCCAGCTCTCCCCATGTGCTCCCAAAACACACACACCCTCTTCAGGGACGCAGTGTCACGGGAATTGTCTTAGTAACTGAAAAGGCAAACTGGGGGCCCAGTGCGGTGGCCTAGTGGCTAACGTCCTCGCCTTGTACAGGCCAGGATCCCATATGGATGCCGGTTCTAATCCCAGCAGCCCCACTTCCCTTCCAGCTCCCTGCTTGTGGCCTGGGAGAGCAGTCGAGGACGGCCCAAAGCCTTGGGACCCTGCACCCGTGTGGGAGACCTGGAAGAAGCTCCTGACTCCTGGTTTCGGATTGGCTCAGCTCCGGCTGCTGTGGCCAACTGGGGAGTGAGTCAGTGGGGATGGAAGATCTTCCTCTCTGTCTCTCCTCCTCCCTGTACACATCTGACTTTGAAATAAATAAATAAATAAAGGCAAACTGGAATCTAGACAAGAAAGAACACGGTCAGCTTCCTGCTGGATAAACTTGAGCAGCAGCCTATCAACATACCTCTCTCCCAGGTCTGTCTCTGTGTCTCTAACTCTACCTTTCAAATCCATCTATCAATCTTTTTAAAAATGTTCCACTTGGATTGACTGGAGTTTCAGTGGAGTATTCATCCATGAAGGTTAAAAAATGCAAAAACAGGAACTTTCAAATCCAAAATATGTATTGTACATATATATGCACGCACAATATCTAATTACATAAGTGTGTATTGTACACGTATTTTTTAAAAACATGTATTTTTATTGGAAAGATTCACAGAGAGAAGACGACAGAAAGATCTTCCATCTACTGGTTCACTCCATTAGTAGCCACAACGGCTTGAGCTGAGCTGATCCAAAGCCAGGAGCTTCTTCTGGGTCTCCCACACAGGTGCAGGGTCCCAAGGCTTTGGGCCATCCTCGACTGCTTTCCCAGGCCACAGGCAGGGAGCTGGAAGGGAAGCGGGGCAACTGGGAGATGAACAAGCACCCTCTTGGCGCATGCAAGGTGAGGATGTTAGCCACTAGGCTATTGCACTGGGCCCCATGTATTTATCTTTAAACATGAAAAAGTACGAAGAGCCAGAACTCTTTAACTCCTCCTTTCTATACAATGATCACCATAAATACCAGTAACACCTGAAAATGGGGAAAGACGAAACAAAATAGTTTTCTGTAGGAAAAGAAAAGAGCGTCTTACTGAGCACCTACTTCATGCTGGGCAGTGTGTCCAGCACGTGTTTTGTTGCATAGCAACTTGGCTCCATTTCAAAAGCACCCAAAATCAAATCTTTATTGATTTAGGTATTTATGCTAGTTTGGGGGTGAGGGGTGGCCCACGGGAGAGCCCTACAGTCTACTGGTCCACTTCCCCCAAATGCTGCGTGGGGCAGAAGCTGAGAGCCCCAGGAAGTCAAGCTAGGTCAGGGACCAGGGGACCGAGCCCTCCCCCCCACCCCCCCCCCCCCCCCCCCCCCACCCCCCCCCCCGGCCATGCATCAGCAACAGAGGGATCAGAATGCAGCCAGGATGTGAGATGCAGGTATTCCCACTCGACCTGACCTCTAGGTCAAACACCTGCCCAGCAAGTTATCCCTTCCTCATTTTCCCGGTGACGCAATGAGAGTCGCAGGTTTTGGATAACTTAGCCAGAGAGCTTGGTTTTGATTCAGGTGCATTCACTTCACAGCCAAAACATGCAAATCACTGCATTTTAGAAAAATCATAAAAACTACAGTTTATCACTCCGAGTAAATCCAGGGCCTGTTCTGGTCGTCCACACATCTGGCAGTTCTAAATCCTTCACCCCAAGCTGCGCTCTGAAAGTGTGGATTCACAGGTCTGACTGTCCAAGCCCCCAACCTGCCCAGTCCAACCAGCTACCTTCCAGCTCAGCCACTGCCTTCTCAAGGCGTTAAACCCCCCCAACGGGTTCCAGCTCCATCCTCCAAGGAGAACCGGTTTTCACAAATTCTGCCGAATCCATGCGCAGTTTCCAAGCACTGGGCATTTAAAAAAAACAAAAAAACAAAAAACACGTGACAGCACAGATTCAGCAAAATAAGTTCTATTGTCTTTAGCCCCAAACCTCTAAAACAAATATCCTGAGGCTCTACCCACTGAAAACACTCTGTGGGTCCCGAAGAAGGAAACGGTTGTTTTCTTCCCGTGGGCACACAACAAATGGGCAAAGAGATAAACATTCGTGTCATCAGTCTCGACCCAACTCCAGCCGGGAAAGTCCTCCGCCAAATATTTACCATGAGTATTTACAGCTATTCTTGAAAGGACTCCTGCTTGGCCATGGCCGCGCCAATTTCTCAGCAGGTGTCCCGGATTAAACTGTTGACCATCACCCCGGGCTTGCTGAATTAGTATTTCGGAAGGGCTCTGCGGCTGGTTACTTTTTAATTAGGGCCTGAAACCCCGCACCGTGTGTATTCAGCCCTCCAAGCACTCGTGCCAGAGAAAGACGCCTGTGTTGGGAGGGGGGTGCACCCCGTTCTGGAGCGCTGCTCCCCAGGTAACTCACCAGGATGCCCATCACATCCGTCCAGAGTCGGGAGAACGCTTCGGACGTGCCAGCTCCTGGCTCAGGCTCCGACTCGGGTTCCGGCCCGGGCTCCCGCTCGGGCTCTGGCCCCGGGTCAGGCTCCTGCTCCGGCGCCGGCTCCGGGCCAGCTGCTCCCGCGTCTTCCATGGCCGCCTCAGTGCGCGCGCGGGCCGTGCGTCCCGGTCCCCGCGGCGCCCTCGTCCCGCGCGAGCGCACGGCCCGCCTCGGGTTGCCGGGTCTCCTCCCGCGGCGTCAGGGAGCCGCACCCCCGCGCCGCATGCCCTGGCGGCCCAGGCCACCCCGCGCGGGACCCGGCCGGCACCCGCACCTCGGTCTAGGTGGCCGCGGGCAGAGCGTCTGACAACTCCAGAAACTCCCACCGCCGCTCCGCGCAGCAACAGGGTAGCAGGCGGCAAAGTCCGCACCACTGAGTTTTTGCGGCCGGGGACCTCGCGGGGTCCCCAAACGGGTGAAACCCACTGAAGAGGCGTCGCTTCCTGTGACCGGGACCGGTTAGTCCAGGACGCCACTCGCTTCTGTTCGCCAGTCAGGACAGGGCGCGGCAGAGGTGGCCGCGGCGCCTCTGCAAATGGGAAGGAAGTCCTGGGACCCCTATCTTCAAAATGAGCTCTTCCAGCTCCACATGACTCTCTCCCCTCGAGGCTAAAGAAAGCGTTTAGCAACAAAAGGTGCTCTGATGTCAGGCTCTTTGCATGGAAATGAGCCACCGACCCGAGAACAAATCGCCTGTTGAAGAGCGCAGCCGCCCTGCGCCCGGCGGCCCGCACAAGTTTGCGAGCACGCTAGTCCCAGAACTCCTGAAAGTTAATCTTTAAGCTGCTCCCGCCAGAGGGGTTCCCGAGTATCCGGTTTACCGTCCACTCCTCACCCTTCCTTAAGTCCCGCGACCTCGGGGATTCCAGCCCAGCTCTACTAGCCGAGGCTTGGCTGAGAAAACAAGTGTGAGCGCGTGGGCTCCGGCATTGTTTGGGTCACGTTTACGGCGGGGACATTTTGGCTCCGGAGTGTGCCCGATGCCATGCCTGGCTGTACCTTCAGCCAATGGGAGGCAGTGCGCTTAGGTTTTTCGTGATTCCTGGGGCGGGCGGTTTGCAACGCTAGCCGCTCATTGGTATATCCACGCAGCCTGCTACACACCCCGGGGCCCTGGTGTTTGTGTTTTCCAAGGGGAAGACCCGCGGTGGATTTATTGGGGAGGGAAATCCTTCTGCAGAGGATTTCTCCTTACGTTTTCTTTTGTGACTTTAAAAGCCACTCTGACTTTTCCCTGGGAGATGACAGTCCTTGTGACACTAGACTTGGCAACTGAGCACTGCGTGAAACACTGAGCCTCCACGAATCCGCCCTGTGTTTCCTTTAAGGAAAAATTCCTTTTTCTTTCTTTTTTTTTTTTTCTTTTTTAGATTTGAAGGGAGCGTTGTACAAGAAAGATCTTCCTCCCATTACTGCACTCTCCAAATGACTGCAATGGCCATTTCATCTAGGTCTCCCTCTTGCATGGCACGGCCCCAAGCATTGGCATCATCTGCTGCTGCCTTCTTTTTAAAAATTTTTCTGTTGTCTAATTTGAAAGTAATACAGGGAGAGAAGGAAAGATAGAGTGAGAGAGATCTTCCATCCACTGGTTCATTTTCCAATGACTGCCATGGTAGTCCGAAGCCAGGAGCCGGGAACTTCTTCAGGGTCTCTCACATGGGTCTGAGGGTCCAAGCATGTGGGCCATCCTCTGCTGCTTCCCAGGCCATTAGCAGGGAGCTGGATGGGAAGTGGAAGTGCCAGGACTGGGCTGTGGGTCAGTGCAGCCAGGCCTGGGACACTGCTGGCTGAGGCCAGACTAGGCTATCCAGGGCTTCCTGGTGCTCCCATACAAATCCTGCAGACCCAAACAAATGCCATTAAGCAGGTGGGCTTTTATTTTTTAATTTTTCATTTTTTACAGGAGTGGGCATTTAGTCTAGCGGTTAAGATGCCCACATGCAATGTGTGAGTGTCTGGCTGCACCTCTGAGTCCAGCTTCCTATCACTGTTTATCCTGGGAGGCAGCAGATGGTAGCACAGAAAGACCCAGACTAGAATTCCTGGCTCCTGGCTTCAGCCTAGCTCAGCCCCAACTCTGTGGGTTTCTGAGGGAATGGATCATCAGATTGAAAAAAAATCCCTCTGCCTCTGCTTTCTAATAAACAAAAATGTTCAAATAAGTAGCATAGGCATGCCTATAAAGGCATGATAATAAGTAAATGATCGGAAAAGGTTCAGTTGAGTCCACTGATGCACTTAGGTGGTTCAGTTTGTTAGCCCTGGGGTACAGACTTGAAACCCAAAGAACTGCAAGCAACTGGGCTACTGCAACCCAGCGGAAGCTTGTGGTTGGCCTAAAGACTTCTGGCAGGAGACTGAGCTAGGAATTTTGCAAGCAGAGCTGTGGGGGCTGGAGCGAACAGGAGGGCTGACATCCCAGCACCAACTCTGAGTCTTTTTGACTCAGATAACCTGGGGCAAAGCGTTTGACCTTTCCGTGCCACAGTTTCCCCATCCAAGATGAGGCAAGGCCACACTAATTGGCAGCCACCTCCTCAAAGGTCATAATATGTCTCAGTCATCTAAAGATAGGTACAATTTAGCGACTGTTGTCGCTACATGCATGCACAACAATATAATTAAATCTTAGCCAGCATTTTGATTCTTAAAGAAAGCAATCTAACCTCCATGGTTAGGCTCCTTTTCCTGGTGCCCAGCATACCATGGAGGTACAGGTACTTCTCTTGCTGGCAGATTCACTTCCAACTCAGCTCCCTGATCATGTGCCTGGAAAGATGGCCCAAGTGCTTAGCCTCTGCATCCATACGGGAAACCCAGAAGAAGCTCCTGGCTCTTGGCTTCTGACCATCCCAGCTCTGGTCGTTGTAGCCACTTATGGAATTAACCAGCATATGCAAGATTCTCTCTCTCTTTCACTCACTTTATCTTTGGCTCTCTTCCTTCTAATATAACTCCCCCTTCTAAATAAAAAATAAGTAATTTTTAAAAGGTTTATTTATTTTTATTGGAAAGGCAGATTTACAGAGAGAAGTTGGTTCACTCCCCAAGTGACCACAATGGCCAGAGCTGATCTGAAGTTAAGACACAGAGCCTCCTCTGGGTCTCCCATGTAGGTGCAGGGTCCCAAGGCTTTGGGTCCTCCTCTGTTGCCTTCCAGGCCATAAGCAGGGAGTTAGATAGGAAGTGAAGCAGCTGGGACACAAACCAGTACCCATTATGGGAAGCCTGTGCTTGCAGGTAGAGGATTACCTAGGTGAGCTATCACTTCAGCCCTCTAAATATATTTTTACAGCCCGGCACGGTGGCCTAGTGGCTAAAGTCCTCGCCTTGAACGTGCCAGGATCCCATATGGGCACCAGTTCTAATCCCAGCGGCTCCATTTCCCATCCAGCTCCTGCTTGTGGCCTGGAAAAGTAGTCGAGGACGAGCCAAAGCTTTGGGACCCTGCACCCATGTGGGAGACCTAGAGGAACAAACTCCAGGCTCCTAGCTCCAGTTTGGCACAGCACTGGCCATTTTGGTTATTTGGGGAGTGAATCATCAGACGGAAAATTTTCCTCTCTGTCTCTCCTCCTCTCTGTATATCTGACTTTGTAATAAAAACAAATAAATCTTAAAAATAAATAAATGAATATATTTTAAAAATGATTACTACTCTCAGTGTCATTGCTTTCTGCTAAGAATTTCTTCTGGGGCTTTATAACAAAGTGTCGTTTTTTACTGACTTCATCATCACCACTTCAGAGCTCCCTAGAGTACTCTGTCCCAAGGGCTTGCATAATACAATTCTGTCTCATGAGCATGGTAAACGACCTTCAAGAGTTGGGCCAAACCCTTCATTTTGCAGATGAAGAAAAGTGTTCCAGAGACACAGCTACGCGGGATAGAATCAAAGTAGGCACAGCCTGATTGCTTTAGAAGTTCTTTCATCGGCTTTGGTTCCCACAAAGAGGCACGCAAGTGGAGGTACCCTCTTAGAGAATCCAGGAATTCTCTGCCCCTTTTTCTCTTCCCATCAGGGCTTTCATCAAGCCCATTGGGAGCGATAGGAAGGATGTCAGTGAGTGAATTCCAGCGGAAGGGAACGAGAAGGGGCTTTTCCAGGCTTTGATTGTGAAATTGAATCTGATAACCATTTATGATAAGAATGAACAGGAAACTCTGAGAAGGCATTCATTGGGAACGCAATGTTGTCTCAGTACAAACATCACGTGTTGAAATAAAATCAGCCTCTATCATGTTGCCCATGTACGTGTGGAGCATATACATACATGTACACGTGTTCATACTGGCTTGCTTTGCACCCAGTTGTTCTTCCCGTGAGTCAAGACTGCAAGAATTTAAAAGCCACTGGTCTAGAAGTTACAGGGCATGGGGTATAGCTGTTAATGCTTCTACCAATGTAAGAGAGGTGGTTTATTGGGCTCAGCATAATGGCTCAATGACTAAATCCTCACCTTGCAAGCGCCGGGATCTCATATTGGCACTAGTTTGTTTTCTGGCTGTCCCACTTCCCATTCAGCTCCTGCTTATGTTTTGGGAGGCTAGAGAGGACGGCCCAAAACCTTGAGACCCTGCACTCGCATGGGAGACCCAGAAGAAGCTCCTGGCTCCTGGCTTCAGATGGGCTTAACCCTGGCTTTTGTGACCATTTGGGGCGTGAGCTGGGGATGTAGGATCTGTTTCTGTCTCTCCTTTTCTCTGTGAATCTGATCTGCCTTTCTGTGAAAAATAAATAAATGTTAAAAAAAAAAAAAAGATAAGTGGCTTATTCCTTTTTCTTTTTACAGTGTATTTTTTCGATCTGAATTTAGAAGACACTGAATAATGTACGGGTTTCATTTGTCCACACATCTGTAAGGGCATGGAGGCGAGGGCATCTGTAGCCATGCAGGCAGCTCTGTGAAGGAAGAGCCCTGCCCTGTGCCCTTCCCTGCCATGCCCATTCATCCTGCGAGGCTCCAGAATGTCCACAAGCAGAAAGTGTTGTTGCTTGGGCCTCCTGGATCCCACGCAGGAGTCAGTGACCCCAGGCCCTGGACTGATTGCCCAGTAAAGGTGGTAGGGGGTTCCCCCTGCAGGCGGGG